GCTTGTCAGATAATGGAACACATCAGGGTGGGGAGGTAGGATTTTGTGTCTAGCTTCCAATCGGGTGTAAAGATTTTACCCATGTTTTCCTATAACACTGCTTTTGGAGAGGGATGTTGTTCTTGTCTGTTCTGTGCTCTTTGCTAGTTCTGCTACTGGTGCTTGATAGAAAATGCTGGGCTTCTACCTCTTCTATCCACTCAACCTTGTAATGGTTATCCCTGAATTTTTTCGTTGCTACGTGGATGGGTGGGAATTTGACCCTAAGTCTCAGTGATACTGGCATTACAGTATAAACATTGCACTGCCTCTCGGTTGGGAACACTGTTTCCTGTAGTTCTCACTGAAAAGGGAGACCTACATAAAATTTTCCCTTCCCCATTTGAATTATTTTCATCAAATCATTTGATGAAACAGACTAAACTTGCATGTGATATTTAAATAATTTTACCCAAATACTATATTCTGAATTACATAGGACGCTGCCTTACACAAAGTCAGGCCACTGGTCAGTCTGCGCTGACTGGCATCATCTCTCCAGGCTTTCAGACAGAAACTTTTCCCAGGCTTACCTGGTACCTGCTGAATGCAAAGGATATGTTCCTACCACTACAATATCATCCTTTTATGCTTGAAGCTGCAAAATATGGTTTTCAAAATTAAAGCAAACACAGATTACTGTATTATTGTGTACAATGGGGGAAGGGGGAGAGAAATGTTTTCTTCTGTAGTTGGACACACGCTAATGTATGGAACATCTCTCTGTGGCCTGGGGTTGGACTAGATGTCCCCTGTGTACCTTCCATCCTGGACATTCTATAAGTGAACAGAAGGCTGCTATATTACTCTGTTTCAAGGAAATTAGAATAGCACTTCATTCACTCCAGTGACTTCTCCCATTCTCTCTCTCTCTCTCTCTCTCTCACACACACACACACACACACACACAATTCCAGACCTAGTTCTCTTCCTAAAGAAATAATAATAGCTAGGGAAGAATACTGAACACAGAGCCATTATCTACAACCAGCTTATCAATAAAGGTGCTATCAGCCTATTTGAGGCAATTACCTAAAGGTGCCCTTTGACGGCAAAACTACCTAAAACAGTTCACACCGGCATGATTGCAGTTTTGTTGTTGTTGTTTGTTTTTAAAATATCCCTGAAGCTTAGAAGTAACGTTATTGTGGCTGGCCGAAGAAAGAGGAGAGAGACGGTACTCGGTTCAGAACTTGAAATAATAATATACAATTCCTTTCCTATTCAACACAGAGAATTTGCCCCTTTCTCATCTGCAGCACACTGGGTTGATTTGCACCACAAGCCTAAGTCTCCTTTCCTGGTCAGTCACTGACAGCTGAGGCCCTATCGATGTATAGTGAAGCTAGGGATTTCCTCACCACAACCGACAAATGTGCATCACTTTGCACTTTCTTGAATTGAACTGGATTTCCCACTGGGATGCCCATTTCTCCCTGCATGACAGAATAAATAGTATTGGGCTGGAACGATGGATGGTCCAACTTCAGTGTTAAGCAGAGATTACATATCATCAAACAAGCTACTCTTTTTTCCCTCAGTATGGTAGAATGTTAAAATTCATTTTTTAAAAAAATAGAGGGGAGAAAAGATATCTGTTTCATTTCAGGCATATTATCCTCCTTTTACCAGCCATCTGTTGAAGCAGCTTTGTTGAAAGCTGGGGGTGGGGGGGAGATTCACAACTTCCCTCCACCTCTGTTCTACAAGGGCCAAAAGGTTTCGAAACTGCCAAGCGCCCTGCAGGTTCCATGACTCAGAAGTGCTGTCTCAAGGCTAATCGGAGGTTCTGCGTTTACTTAAAAGTAACTTTCTGAAACATTTCACTGTGAAGGTGACTTTCCAAAATGCAAATCAGCTGCTACCCTTTAAAATAAAGATTCAGCATTCAGCAATGGATAAAACCCCAGCCTCCATAGGTTTCTTTCCCTGCTGTGGCCCCCAATGGTCATTGGTACCACTCATTGTTGTCACCTGCATATAAACGGTTTATACCAATGTTTGCACACAAAATGGGTGGCGCTGTGGGTTAAACCACAGAGCCTAGGACTTGCCGATCAGAAGGTCGGCGGTTCGAATCCCCGCAACGGGGTGAGCTCCTGTTGCTCAGTCCCTGCTCCTGCCCACCTAGCAGTTCGAAAGCATGTCAAAGTACAAGTAGATAAATAGGTACCGCTCCAGTGGGAAGGTAAACGGCGTTTCCGTGCGCTGCTCTGGTTCACCAGAAGCAGCTTAGTCATGCTGGCCACATGACCCAGAAGCTGTACGCCGGCTCCCTCGGCCAATAAAGCGAGATGAGTGCCACAACCCCAGAGTCGGCCACGACTGGACCTAATGGTCAGGGGTCTCTTTACCTTTACCTAATGGGCAACATAGAAATTAAAGTTGTGGACTCTGCATGATCTCCCAGGTACTATCCAGTGATGAAGTTTAGGTTTGTGTGAAGTACCCAGAGTCATCATTGTAGATTAATTCTGACAATGATGACGGTTGTCCATTCGGTCTCATAGGGTAGAAGTCAGGGAGGTCAACAGTAGGTGGAGACAGAGCCAAAGACAGGCAGAGCTAACTCATTATAGAATTATCCCCATACTCCTCTATGGTGAATTCTAGAAAGGGAACACTGAGGCTAAGGAGGAGGCAGAAGATGACGGCCAGTTCCACCCTCTGGAGTGGTTGTAAGAAGCCAGACAGGTGGGAATGGCTGAAAGCAGACCTAGGTTGGTGGGGCTCCACAGCGAAGGATAGGGGGAAATTCTTCCACCTTGCTAAGTGAGCCATGGGTAAGCCCAGCATGCACACCCAGGCCCTAATGTTCACTATGATGCATAGGCTAGGCCCCAAGATGACCCTCACCCCAGGTACCCCATAACCTCTCACTGTGGACTATAACTCCGTTGCCTCCACAATGTCTCAGCATTGCAGAAAATTAAGATCTTACATTTTCTTACCCACCCGCCCTAAATGCCAATCAGCCACATAACGCCAGATCAAAGAAGATGTGCGCTGAACAGATGCATTCTGTACATATTCTGTTTCTGGCCCTAATACCAATGTACTTCCTTTAGAATTTCCCACATTGCAACACTCTGAGAAAGGGGGGAAAAGGATAAGTATTCTCCTAGCAAAGCTGCTGTATGCGCCCCCCCCCCATTTGAAATCCTTTCTGTCACCACCCCCCAAATGAAAAACCAGATCTTCTTTTCAAGAGCTACAAAAGGCTGAGGGACATTTTGAAATAGACTTAGCCTGATTGTCATGAATAATAATCAACACCAGTGACCCATGAGGGTGAATGGGGCACTTCCCCATCAACCTCCATCTGTCCTCAGCCAGATCCCACCTGCCTGCCTTCTTACTTACAACCAGTCCAGGGTGTGGCCCTGCCTGTCAGTTTCATCCTCCTTTGTGTTTCCCCTTATAGAACTAAGCAGGGAGAAAGATGGGAACAAAACTAGAATTTGTTGGCTATACTAGTCATTGGCTCTGGCTCCATCTATATTTGGGCTCCCTGCCTTCTGCCCCCAATGGGCACCAGCCACCACTGGTCAACATCTTCCAGGTTTTTATTTTATATGTATTTCCTTGAATTTCCAGAAGGACAACAGCGAATAAAAGGGGGAGGGGGGAGAAGCTACTGCTGAATTATTTTGTGACTTGGATGGGAAGATAATGAATTTGTTGTACATAAATGTTGTTTTTTTCAATTGTTTCTTCAGTCCACAACATTCTTACATCCTCTGTGAAGCAAAATTAATGTTCAGTTCCTGAAATCAGCTTCCTGCTTGTCCATCAGGGAACATCATGCGATGAACCAAACTCTCTAATTTGCAGTCAAGAGGGAGGAAGCTCCTTATTTTGCTTTCCTGAACCTTTTTAATTATTTGAGATTCCCACCACAGAGGCTTGCGGGTGCCATTTTGGATTTACCCATGAGAAATGCATTTCTGCAATAGTGTTTGTAGGTTATATAATTCCTTCTATGGTGGGGGGGGGGGCACGCGTTGTTTTTCAATTACAGAAAGTCTATTAGAATGTGGACTCTGTTCAAATGAGCTTTAAAAAATTAAAACAACGCTTCAAAGTGATTGAAAGGACTTGGCGCTTAGAAGCATATCCAAGATAGTGACTCAAAGCAAGTCCCAAGACGCATTTGAAAGTGTTTAAAAACTCCATTTTCAATTTCAAAAGCCTATTTAAACATTTAAAAGAGGGAAAAACACCTCTCAAACAATGGAAGAATATCATTATAAGCCAAAAAGGGAGTTAAGTAACTTCAAAAGCAAAAAGTTCAGGCATTACTCTCTGGACAGCTATTGATAGAGCTTCCAAAAGGCTATTGATATCATTACAGAATCAACAAATCAAGGCTCACACTGACCTTGACTTTATTATAATTTTTTCATGTTGGCTGTATCCAAACTTGGTTCTACTAAGAGCAGACTTGTTGAAGTTCAAGAGCGAGTCAATGGGTGTACCCAGAGTGGATTTTTGTCGGATACTTCCACCTGCTTCAGAGATGGTTTGCCTCTAAATATCATTGGCTAGGAAGAGAAGAAGAAGAAGAGGAGGAGTTTGGATTTGATATCCCGCCTTTCACTCCCTTTAAGGAGTCTCAAAGCGGCTGACATTCTCCTTTCCCTTCCTCCCCCACAACAAACACTCTGTGAGGTGAGTGGGGCTGAGAAACTTCAAAGAAGTGTGACTAGCCCAAGGTCACCCAGCAGCTGCATGGGGAGGAGCAGAGATGCGAACCCGGTTCCCCAGAATACGAGACTACCGCTCTTAACCACTACACCACACTGGCACATTGACAGCAGTCAATGAAGGCTGTTTCTTTCATGTTCTGCTTGTGAGCTTCCTGGAAGCATCTAATGGTTATTATGGGCAATAGAATGTCGTACTGGATGGGCATTTGTCCCTGCATTCTTAAATGCAAGAAAGATTAACAAATGGGGAAGGGTCATGGCTCAGTGGTAGGACATCAGCTTTGTATGCAGGAGATTCCAGGTTCAAACCCCAGCATCTCCAGGTAGGGAATGTTTCCTGCCAGAAATCCTGGAGAGTCACTGCCAGTCAATGTAGACAATGTTAAATGGGCCAATTGTCTGTCTCAGGAGAAGTCAGCTTTCCTGTGTTCCTAGTGAAGGTCCTTATGAAGTGTCCAAGGGTTGCATAGATGCCTCCAGTCTTCTATATATTTGAAACTTTTTAAAAATAAGCAGTCCTGCCACCAACAACCTAGAGCAGCTATCATGTCTAGGGAAGCTTTTAATATTTGATGAATTATTGTATTTTAATATTTTGCTGGAAGCCGCCCAGAGTGGCTGGGGAAACCCAGCCAGATGGATGGGGTATAAATTATTACTGTTATTATTATTATTATTATTATTATTTGGGGTTTATTGCCACCAAGTGTTTCGAATGCAATGCAGCAAGTCTCCCCGGGAGTGAAGTCCTTGATGACATTTCATTGCACTCAGGGGCAATTGTACGGGAGGTGGGTGATTCACATTCCTCTCTGAGCTTTAGAAAAAGAGAGGATAATGACACAGGGAAAAAGAGCACAGCATTCAAATAAACCAGCTTAAACGGGAATGCATTGGCCAGTGCATAAAGCAATTGCCCCCACTTCATGCATAAATGAAAATCAAGCCTCAGGAAGCATTCTGGTGAGTTCCCAAGCTTGCTCTCTAAATGCATGGTGCATTTCCAAATATAAAATGATGCATCTCTGCTTCTTTCATCTATGCACGGCTACTAGCCAGTATGGCTATGATGAGCCTCCACAGTTGGTGGCAGTAATGCTTCTGAATTCCAGTTGCTAAAAGCCACAGGAGGAGACAGAACTCTTGTGCTCAGGTCCTTCGAGAGGGTTTCCCACAGGCATTTGGGTGGGCGCTATGAGAACAGGATCTAGGAAAGCCACGTAAATGTCCCTGCCTCAAAACATACGTATAATTACAATTATGTCTGTATTTTATTTTATTTTTTTAAAACAGCAAAGGTCTTTCTTCTTGAGAGCAGAGCACAGTCACAATGAGTTAGCAGTAAGCACAGTGAAAACAACGATGACCCCCAAGTCCAATAACCTTTGCTTATTAAATGAAGGAAATGTATATGTAGTAAAGTAATGCATAATGCATTGCATAAGGATCTTTTCTTGTTCCCTGTCTGAGGTCCCCAGACTAATCACAAACAGTGTCAGGAGGGGAGAGAAATGGAACTGACCTGCTGAACAACTTACTAAGATATTTAACCTGGTAGACAGCTGATAGGAAGGCTTCACAGTTCAAAGAGCAAGGTAAATAATAGGGGCCAAGTCTCCCAATGCCCAGGGACATAGCTATTACCTTTGTAATCTGCTTGTGGGCTTCCCAGAGACTTTGGGAAGCAGGCTGTTGAACCAGATGGAGCTTTGGTTTGAGTCCAAAGAGCTGTCCTTTCATTTGAAGCTGAGTCTAAAGTCTTTTACCGCGTATTCCAGTGGTTGTTAGGGTCAAGACAGCTACAAAAGTATATACACATGAGGTATGCCTGCCGCACCGACTATATCTTTTCATTTCTGCTAATTGCTTACAATACAAAAAAGATAGTTGTGTTGTTGTTTTAGAACGGTCTTTCATACATCTCACACTGATGGTGTGAAATAAATCCCATTAGCTCTTACTGGGGTAGTGTTATTAAAAGAAGAAGAGGGGGAGTAAGGAGAGAAACCTGCTTTATAAACATTAGAGGACTGCTAGGGACAAAAATACAATCAAATTGTTTTCTCCTCTGGTTTGAATGGTTAGCTATGGTGAGGGTAAGGACATCATCACAGTTTGTAAATGACTGACAGTCACGGTCAATTGATTGCCAGCTAGATGCACTGATGAAGCTCACATATCCTACTATGATGACATATACATCTCAAAATAGGAGTGAAAGGTTATTTTTCTAGGTTGTTTTAGATCACCCCCCCAAAAATAAATGTGAGCAGTGGCACAATCGGAAATGGATTAGTCTAGCTAAACATTCCCATCAGCATCTTTGATCTCCACTTCCTGTATTCCTCTTCTACCAGGAGAAGATCGCTGTCAGGATGGGCTAGACACACGATGCTGTATATGCAATTCAAACAATCTCTTTCTCTCTCTTTGCTGTAGATAAGAGGTAGGAAACCTGTTTCAGTCTGAGGGTGACATTCCCTTCTGAGCAAGCTGTGGAGGCAGGGAGGAGGGGACAACACATGTCAATGATGCCTGAAACCAGAGGCAAAAACAGCTAGAGCAACTAATGGGAATTTTACCTTTGTACAGTTAGGTAGATTCACACACACATCTTTTCTATCCTTGAGGCAAGCAAGGGGCACTATCAGAGTTCAAAGACACATTTTAGTCAGAGGAAAATACTCAAGGAAGATGTGAGGCGTTCGGCTCAGGAGAATATGCAATGTGGGGAGAATCCTCAGGGCAAGCTAGAGAGGCCTGGCAGGACACATTTGCCCCCCAAGCCTGAGGGTCCACAACCCTGGTGTAGATAATAAAGCTAATAGAAGTAATTAGGTAATTATATTGTATGGGGTGTTAGAGGAGGAGGAGTACCTCTGGTGGGGGACATGTTATGCTCCTTCTGTGGTAGTTTCTCCCCCTTTGGTCCTCACCCTGCACTCAGCTCTCACCTGTGGCTCCCAGAAGCTGTCAGCATGCAACAGCAGCCACACCTCAGAAAACTTATTCAACTGGCCAGCTAAACTATGTGAGGGTAGTTGATGGGTCTCAAACCCTCAGTGAGTTAGGGACTTCCCCTGCATGCAGATACAGGCTCTGGCAGATTGACAGGATGAGACCAAATAGCAGGTTCAACACTCAAGAAGACAGTTTCTGCATGTGCTGTAGAGGGAAGTGAGGGGCAGATGGGGCTCATCAACCTGGGAAGGTAGCCCACCTAGGAGAATGAAAACTGATCCTAAACTTCCACTGCCTTGCAGCTATGCTCATTCATGAGAAAGCTTTTGGAAGTAAACCCTGAGGAAAAATCTGTACTTGCTGCCTTGTGGGACACCTTTGAGAGAAGAAAAGGCTGAGGAGTAAACCCTACACAAATCCAGTGTGGAATCCCTAAGATTGTTGAATGGCATCCTGTACTCCTCCTTCTGGCAACTCCTGCAGTCAAGTTGGTGCCGAATGTATTGCTCTCCTTTCCTTTGGACCACATCAGTGAAGCCAAAAAGGAGGTGTCATCTGGGCAGCCCAGGACCTCCATACACACTGCCCAGGGCTGCACCCCAGAGAGGCCACATTGGTGCTGCTAATGCAGCAAAACAACATGAGAGGCAGCAGCTACGAGTTACTGGCCTCTGCAGTCACACCAGGCACTGTAATTCTCCAGCGGTTAGAATGCACCCCTGCAAGTATACTCCATTGTCTCTCAAGATGAAGGAATGCCAAGAACAATTCTTCTGTTTTCACAGAAGCACGTCATTTCAGAAGTCCATTCTTATTTAGTGGTGGTCTAATTAGCAAGGGAATATGAAACCTTCAGGCTCTCTTACTTACAATATCACTAACCCTAGTATAGCTTGCAGAGCAAAAGAATTACGGTACTTTGTCTTCCTACAGGAGCCTTTTGTGATTTGCTTTCAATGGCTCAGACTACTAGAAACAGTTTTTGCAGCACATGTCTTTGCTGAATGGATCCTGAAGCAGCTTCATTAATAAAGATTCCAATGCTCTTTTGATTGGATTATTCTTTGTCACTTGTTATTTTGAAGAAGGGGGAAAAGAGAGGAAAGAAAAGCTGAGGGAGGGAAGCCACATAAACAAAATCAATTGATTAACAGCTGCAACTCCTGTTTTGCAAGAGCAAAGGAAACAATGGCATGAATATGGGTGCATAAAAGATGCAATATTCTTCTCATCCACATCTTCAGACTTTGGAGTTCAGGACAGATGCATTCTTAGCATAATTGCTGATTTTTATTTTTACTGATGAAAAACTACTGTCCCAAAATGACTTGATCCTCTTTCTGGTGGCAGGACTGGAAATAGCAAGTGGTGGTTGGGAATGGGAGTGGTAGAGTGGAAGGCAGAGATACCCATAATAGATGAAGCCACAGCCAATGACAGACTGAGCCAAGGAATCTTAGTTTTGTCCCCATCTTCTTCCCTCACTACAAACGGCAAGACTAAGGAGGTGGAATCTGACAGCCAGGGTGCAATCACCTAGACTAGCTGTAAGTGAGTAATAGGGAAGATGAGGCTGGATGGAGGCAACTTGAGGTTGCTGGGGCAATAGACTAGCCCCCACTGAAGATAGCTTAGCATTTCCTGTTCACAGTGGAAGGTGGGTGGGGTAAGGTGTGACACTTGGTACTATCAGAAAAGGACAGTCATAACTTTGCAGGGGATGTGACAAGAACAGACACCCTTGTGGAATTCTAGTGGCCTCCTATCTGCTGACCATGAGGGATGACTCAGTACATCACTAATTCTCATCTCTCATTTTGGAATGTTCCATTTCATGCTGTAATTGTTACCCTCTGAAAACTGATACCGTTTTATGACTGTGAACCACCAGTGAGATCATGATTAACAGACCAGCCAAAGTTGAAGAAATACATGGAGCCCACTATCATTGTACTATGCAAATACTTACACTATGCCGTTCTTCAGAAATAACACAAGGACACCTTTGGTTTCTGCAGATTATTGCATTGAATGCCTCAGAGAATGTGCAGAGTTCCTTTTCCATAAAGGATATGGGATTTCCACCACAGGAAGACAAAGCACCTCTGAGCATGTGCAGAGCCTTTTCCTTTTGCAAAAAGAATACTTTGCCTTCACACAACACAATGAAGACTCTTGAGACCAAAACACTGGGATAATGGTTATATTTATTAATAGAATGACTTGAGGAACTGCAAACCAAATTAAATGAATTCAGAAAGTACTGGCAAGTGACCTTTCCACATGTGATACAGCCACAAACTGTAGATCCTCCACAAAGGACTGAGAGGATTCCCTCTCTCCTTGCTAGATGAGCTTTGG